TCAGCAGGGCAGAAATACTGGGAGGAGGAGTTAGGGGTGAGAAACAGCAAGGCTAACACAGGAAGTATGAGTGCCTTTGTGGTCGGAAATCAGGGGAGCAGCAGGCAATAAGGCTGAGTGATCTGCAGGGACCAGATTGAGAAAGGCCTTTAATGCCAGGTCAAGGACTTTATCCTGGGGGCAGTGAGAGCCATTGAAGGTTTGATGTAGAGAATAATGGCACAGTCAGATCTACGCTATCAAGAAAAATTTGTGGACAGTCTCCCTCCTTTAGTTCTCTATGCGAGCAGAGAGAGGTGGGGAGTCAAGGGACAGGACTCAAAGGACACCCAGTTCCTAAGGTCTTGGATAGTGACTTCCGGTTAATGACTGCTTGCTGGAGGCCCCAGGGGGACCATCCCAGAAGTCTCTCTCACCTCCTCTGCCTGTCCTGCCACTTCAGAATGTCAGCACAGGCCCTGAAAGAGCTCAGGCACACGCTACAGGGAAGGGGGCTTGTCCAGGACAGAAGGGACCTGGGACCCGACTCCTGCTCTGTGCAGAGCCTGGAGCCCCAGTTACAAACAGCGACCACTGATTCAGCAGCTGCTGTGTGCAGTTCCTGGGCTACGCACTCGACATTCATTTAGTCCTCACAATAAGTCTGTTATACTAGGCACTGTTATCATTCATTCCACTTTGGAGATGAGGAAACTGATGCTCAGAGAGCAAAAAGAACTTGGCCAAGGTCAACAAGCTCCTAAGACACGAACCCAAAACCTAAACCCAGGATGCCTGACCTCGAACCTCCCTCCTTTCTCACAAACATTTCAGTTTGGAGCAAAGAGAAATCAATGTTCTGAAACAAGGCGGAAGAGAAAGGAGAGGAGGTCTGACCTGCTTCAACAGCCAGAAAATCCCAAAGCTAATTTCAGAGCAGCTGGGGGGCGGGGCGAGGGGGCTGTGCCACCTCTTAACATATGTCTTCTCTTACTGGGCACATTTATGTCCTATGGGGAGAAAAGACTAGAATCAAGCCCAGGGGGTGGGTGGGGGTTTGTTGGGGCCTCCAATGTGGCCTCCTTCGAGGAAGGCCCAAAGGTCTTTCAAGTCTCCTATTGTATTTAAGAAATCCACGTGTATTTTGCAGTCCTCCTCATAACTTATCTGTTACAATACAAAAATAGCTCTCTCCTCCCCCAAATCTTCAAGTAAAAATGAGACTTCAGAAAGCTGGGCTATGTTTATCCTGGGATCTCAATTCCCCCAAATGCCCTGACTTGTCTGCCCGAGGGGCTTACACTCTGGGTAAGTGCTGGCTCCAGGTGGTCTAGGCCCCGCGGAGTAGGGGTGCTCAGGGGCCCCTAGAATACCATCGCATCTTCCCGGCTCAGGCTCTCAGGCTGGGGAGGGACCACGAGCCCCCACAAGGTTTTAGCCACCTGCAAAACCCACAATGTCCCCCACTCTCCACCACGTGGTTGCTCCCCAGCCCCCAGCCCTATGCCAAGAGGCGGAAGTGGGGGAAGAGGCGGGTTCCATTCTTTGGTCCCAGAGCCCGGGGGTGGCCCGCCTGCTGCCAGCAGGAAAGAGGGAATTTGGAGAGATTTCCGCTGCGGATGTGCCAGATATTACAGTGGAGAGGCAGCACCAACAAGGCATGTACTTGCCTGACGAGAATGTGGTGCCCCCTCCTCCAACCACAGAACTTCAAGGGGCCCTGCCAGAGTGTGCCCGTGCTCAGGGGCCCCAGAGTTCATGTGTCTGACACCAGCAGGCCCCTGTGTCTTCCTGACTTTGCCTGGTTGGATTTCCTGGCATGCAGGGCAGGCAAGTGGGGGACAGGGGTCACATTTTTGGTGTTCACACATTCTCAAACATACTCACATACACAAAATACCCACGGTCCCTTCGCCAACCAGTAAACTCCTATGCATCCTTCAATACCCAGCTTGAGCTCTTCTACACAGCCCTCCCAGACTGCCCAATTTCTCGTCTCCTTCTGACCATTAGGGCATCTGTTACTCAATCTTATGTTTACCAAATAGAAATTGAGCGTTTCCTGCGTGCCTGGCACAGTGCTGGGTGCTGGGAGACCATGGCAAGATAAACACTGTTTCTGCTCCAGGGGAATTCACAGCCTGGCTTTCATGCTTCATTGGAAATGATCTCTGCACATATTAGGATCCTCTATGAGACTGGCAACTCGTGGGGAGCAAGAATTATCTGTGTCCCGCGTCCCAGCACAGGGTCTGACATGCAGTAGGTGCTCAGCTAGTGTTTGCTGCCTGGATGGATGAATGAATATGTGAGTAAAGACAAACCCCACGTGCTCATTAAACACGAGCTCTAGGGCCACAGAAATGAGCGGCGTTTCAGTCCCCAGGGAGACCCTGCAGGGGACGGTGCACCGGGACACCACCTGCCTGGCACCGGAGGCTGACTCTGACACACCTGTGGAGAACTCCTCTGACCCCGCTCGCCTGGCAGGCCCGGGGCCACTCCGAGAAGGGGAACTGGGGCATGGTGGCTGCACCCAGGGCTGCACCCCAGCTTTCCCAGTTCCCGATGCCCGCCCCTCAGATGGCAGCATGGGGTATGACTCAGGGACATACCCCCTCTGGCATGACGCAAATCCAGCCCCTGGCAGAGCCCCTCTCCCAAGGCCCAACAACCTCCCGGGCTGGTGGTGGCGAGGTCACAGGGTCGAGAGGTCGCAGTGACAATTCCCTGCAGCCAGTCACCTCCCCAAGCCATGCCCAGCTGACGACCACGTGCACCCCCTCAGCCCAAGGATGCGAAGCCTGGACTTTGTCTGGTGCCCTGACGGGCAGCAAACGGCGACCCCGTAAGTTACTGACCCTGCAAATGAGGGGAACTGATAACTCCAGACCCCGGCAGCTTCTCAGTCCCCAGCAGGCCCTGTCGCCCCCATGGAAGCAGTTGTCCCAGTGGCCCAGTTGCTGCTAGCACCTTGCCCTTTTCCCACACACCCTGGGGAATTATCTTTGTGCGCATTCCTCCACCAAGCTGTGATAAGCACAGCCTCTGCTTCCCGCTGTCTCCCTACCACCAGCCTTTTATCTTCTGTTTGCTTTCCCTGCCTCCTTCCTTCCGTTCTGGGGACTCACTCACCTCAGCGAGGGAGGGAGGGGCCGCCCCATGGAGCTGCCAGCGTCTGAATTTGCCCCCAGTGTGAGCTGAGGGCAGGGTAAGCAGGGCACAGAGGTGGGAGCTGCCACCCCCAACCCCCCATTCAGGTCAGAGGAAACTCCACAGAAATAAGGCCCAGTGGCACTCCCCAGGGAGGGGACAAGCCCAAGAGTCACAGCGCACAGAGTTCCCCACCTGGGGATCAGCCCTGTCCTGACTGCCAACAGCCCCTGCCATGGCTCAGGGACACCCTGCCTAAGGAACACCTCAATCAGCTCCTCCCCTTCAACTCTGGACCCTGCGAGAGGTCTGGGCCACTCAGGGTGCCAGCACTAGGACTCGGCTCCTTGCACACATGGTGAGGTCACCCAGTCTGCAGCTTGCCAGAGCAACCCAGGTTCTCAAAAGGAACCACGGCAGAAAGTCACAGGAGGTAGGCTCTGATCGCTAAGTCAGCAAGGCTCCAACCTAGCCATTTTACAGGTGGGGAGAATGAGGCCCAGAGGGGACTCATCAAGGTCACACAGCTTGTGGGTAGAAAGATATATGCCAGGGGCACTTGGGGACAGTCCTCCCCATGCCAGGCCCCAGCTCTTCTGGTCACTGTTTCCTCTTTCTGGGCCTCAGTTTCCTCATCTGTAAAATGAGGATAACGTCCTCAGGTTCTCTGGGTTGTTTGTGAAGACAGAAGGAAACCTCGCTTGGGAAATGCTCAGCATGGGATGAGGTGTCCATGAACTGGGGGACAGAGAAGCTTCAGGAGCGAGGCGCTGGGCCCCTGGAGGGAGCAGCAGCCTCCAAGGAGGGAATTCCTGACCCTGCAGCCCCACCTGCAGCTCTGGCCTCCCAGCTGCTGGGCTGAGCCTCTGGCCAAAGCCGCTGGCCACCTGCTCACCTGGCCCGCAGTCCCCACGGCTCAGGCGCTATCAGGGGCCCCACCAGCTCAGCTGCCGATGCCAGCACAGGAAGCAGAGACAAACAGGGAGACAAAGCCGCCCCGGGGGAGATGACGGTCAGCCTGAGTGACTCCACTGTCCCCTAGGCAGGCCTGGGGAGGGGGGGCGGGGAGGGGGGGAGCTGGAGGGAAGCTGGCTCATTCCTGACATAGCTCACAAGAGCTCTCTGGGCAGTGTGCCCACCTGTCCGCACAGCACCTGGGAGGTGCCTCTCTTCCGTTGTCCATTTAACTCTTTCTTGAGCTGAGAGCTTCCTGGGGAAAGAACTCTCAGGAGAAACAAACGCTGGGAATAACCTGGACCAGGTGCTGGGTGACCTTGGCCTGCCCAGCGCCCTCTCTGGGCTTGGTTTGTCATCAATAAAAGCCACAATGGGAGAATCTGGGTCCATGGCCCTGTGGAGGGTGAGGCGGTAGGAGGGGGGTGGCGCAGACCCTGCATCTCTCTCCATTTCTCCCTTAACATGCTCAGTAAGAGCCCCTCAACTACCTCACATCCTGCGCCAGGACCCACCATCCCAGGGCTGCCCTGAGAGTCTGTCCCAGGGCCAGGAGCTGAGTCAGGGATTCCAAAGGAACTGGTCATTTCCCGCCCCGTTTCCTGACCCATCCTCCAGCTTGGACGCTGGTGCATCACCTAGATCCAATCCTGATGCAACTAAATCTTAGCTGTGTGACTCCAGGCAAGTCTCTTCATCTCTCTGAGCCTCAGTTTCCTGTCTGTTAAGTGGGACTGATAACAGTCCCTGCCTCTCACGAAAGGTGGTGCAGATTCAGCA